ACACACACACACACACACACACACACACACACACACACACACACACACACACACACACACACACACACACGTGTTATCAGCAGTGAGCTCTGAGGTGTCAGCCTGCAGCCGTCTGGACTCTGAACCTGGACTTGAAGCGGTCACACAGGACCTCCACACACTGGGACAGCGTGGACGTCTCCACGCCGTCCTGCTGCCGCTCCTCCTTCTCGTTCTCCTCCTCCGCCACCGCAGACTGGAGCTGCTCCACGGAGGTGGAGGTGGGGACGATGACGGTATTGGGACTCTTCCCTGCCAACAGATCCTGGTAGACGAGCAGGAGACTCTCTAAGAACTCTGCAGGGACAGAGAGGAACAGCAGGGGGCGCCGTTTCATTTGACTGGTCTGTTTCCACAGGAAACTGAAGCCTGCAGGTTTAACGTTTATTTAGATTTATTCAGACCCTTCAGTTTGGAGTCTGAACGCTGACTCTGCAGACTTTGTGCTGTTTTAGCTGTTTCTACATGAAAACGTTCAGCTCAGTTTTTGACTGTTTGACTTTTGTTTTTGTAACTTCAAGTAATTTCAAAATATTTAATTTTATATATAAAAAATATTTATCCATAAAAATATGATGAAATCTCTTCACTTCCTTAAACCTCTTAAACCCCACGAGGTTTTCTTGTGTTTTTTTTTCTCTAAATCCCATGTTGAAATGTAACTGAGTAACTCAGCATTTACAAACTCTACTTCTATTATCCTGGTATCAAAATAAAGCAACACTTGGGAGATTTTATTGGAAATGTAAGTTTTAAATCAGCTGCTGTGGTTTTAGACATATTGAGATTTTATTTTTTCTCTCCCACCTGAATAATTTTCACATTACACAGTATATAACTCATTTAAAACCATAATGAATCAGGTTAAAACTCTTGGAAACCATAAACCCACCTGTGGACATCACCTGTACAAAGATTCATGCTGCTAAAATGAACTGGAGCAAAGTTACAGAGGTTTTAGTAAAGAAATAATTCAGTGTTTTATCATTCTGAACAGGACAGACCATGATGGTTCCATTAAAAAATGTTAACAAATCTGAAGTTTTTACTTCCAAAAGTTATTTATTTTTTCTTACCTTACTTTAAAGACTTGTTATTAAGTGTTTGTTCTTCACAAAAATTATCCAAACAGTTATTCATCACCATATATATACCCCACGTGACCCTGAAAGAAATAATCTTATAAAGAAAATGGATGGCTATATTATGTAATCTTCAGCTCCTGCTCTCATGCTACTGTTAGCCTTTAGCTTCCTTTACCAAACGTTTCACTTTAAGGTGCTGTTCTGTGGTTTTAGCTTCTATCTCCTTGTTTGAAGTTTATCAACTCATGTATGAGGGACAGACAAAGTGTCCTCTGATTAAAGACCGGGACATCTGTCCCCCTGCAGCTCATCTGGTCCATCTCAGAGATAACACATCACGTTTTATTGTGACGAATAAACAGATGATGTCATCAAGCTGATAAAACATAAACAAACAGATGTTATTTACCTTTCTGATCAGCTGATGGTCTTACCTTGGTAGTAGAGCTGCAGCTGGAAGGCATAAATGAAGTCAGAGAAGGACATCAGACAGTCGGTGGCATCGTCCATCAGAACCATCCTGCAGAACCAGAGGACCGCTAACCGTTAGCATTAGCCCAAACATTCTTCTGTGATGATGAACCCCTGACGTTCCCATTTCCCACAGCAGTGAACGCCTCACGGCGAGGCTCCATCAGCGACATGAAACCCAGTTTGATCTGAGAGCTGTGGTTCTGCTGACCTGGCTGCGCTCTGAACCAGCTCCAGAGGGAAGTCCGGACACAGCAGCTGCAGCAGGGAGCGGTACTCCAGGAGCGACAGGAGCTCTGCAGCCAAACACAAACACACATCCTGTCAGCTGTTTACTGTTTACATCAACAGCTGTTTCCTGCTGCGGGTGCTGACCTCACCTCCGCTCCTGCCGATCTGCCTGAAGCTCCTCCAGAAGACCCTGATGAAGGACGCCCGGTTGTGCTGAGTGGCTCTGATGTAGCTGAACTCCCTGAAGAGGACGTGGTTGCTGTTCTTCACACTGCTGAAGCTACACACACAGGTTGTTTACCAAACAAACAAACAAACAAACAAACAAACAAAAACCCAGCTCAGAGTTTAAAGTGTCTGTGACATGTCTATCCATCAAATACAAAAAGTAAAAAACACATTTTTATAAAAGAAACCTTACATAAAACATGATTTTACTCATTTTGTCACATAAATGACATGTTTTCTTTTAAACTCGGCTCAAAGTGCAACAGGAAGTGACATCACAGGGGAACTCTTTAAGAGAAATCTGTAATCTTGGTTTATTGAAACAGTTTTATTTGAACTCTGACTCCAGTGTTGTATAAAGTACTTCAAAGTGATACTTGAGTAAAAGTACAAGTATCTAATTATAAAAGTACGTTGGTAAAAGTTAAAGTCTTCTCTAAAAATATCACTTGAGTAAAAGTCTTAAAGTATCTGATATTTTTTGTACTTAAGTATCCAAAGTAAATTTCTGACACAAAATCTACTTAAGTATTAAAAGTAAAAGTACTGAGTAAAAGTGAGCAGTTAGATTTTACAAAATGACATTWATTGGGAGGTGACTTCTCCAAAAACTATATTTTCTAACAGCGTGCAGCTGTGATGGGTTGTGTACAAGCTAATAGTGTGTCAGAATGGTATATATTTATACTTCTCATCCAAACACAATTAAATTCACTCTATAGGAGACACAGTTTATCAGGAGAGGATTTTTTAATTAATAACTCTGAATAAAACAGGAGTAACAACTTTCTACTTCTTACCTTTTAAAAAAATGTAGAGTAGAAAGTACAGATTTAATAATACAGATTTTTAAAATGTGATGTCACAGGCACTTTAACCCCTGACTTCAGTCTAGAAGCTAAAAGCCAAAGTCAGATCTCTAAAATCCACTGTTTGAGCTGTTAAATTAATTTTGTTGTGTTCTTGGAGCCTCTGCAGGAAGCTGAACTGAGTCTCTCCCAGTCTTTATCTTTATATTCGGTTTGGCTCAGATTTTTTTATTTCGTTCAGTTTTCTCTATCATGTTTTCTGAACTATTATGTCAAATTATGGGCGGGGTTTGAAGCACCTTGTTTGGATTTAAAGAGACAGCGTCAAAACGAGTCTGTCTAAGCTTCATGAAAGGGGCGGGGCTTGTGTGAAGGATTTAAATGTGAAAAGGATGATTTAAAACCATCAGATCTGTTCTGGTCCAGTCCTCATCCCCTCATGATTTACTTCCAGACATCCGGACTTTCCTGGGTTCCGTTCAGGTGTTTTGGGTCAAAGGTTCTGATGATGTTCAGAGATTTTAGCTCATAAATTTATTCTGATATGAAGTCAAATATTCATCAGTAATCTGCATTTAGATCAAAATAATTTCTTATTGATGCAACATTTCCTCAACACTGAAGGTTCGGCTGATGTTGGACCTACTACTCGGCGAAGTACCGGACCAGGCCGAACTGGGTGTACTCCTCTCTGTGCTCCAGGAGCTGGGTCACAGCATCGTTCAGGTAGAACAGAACCTGGCTGTCCGCTGAAACACACACAACACACTCAGGTGAACAGAACCGAACCGAACCGGACTGTGAGATACGAGAAGGACGAGCGGCTCCGGCGTCATCCGAACCTACCGAGGTACTGCTCGGCCGGGACAGCGGCACTCAGACGGCTCATGGTTCTGGTTCTGGTTCTGCTGGTCCGGACGGGAGCAAGAAGATCAGAAACAAACAGTTCAACGGAACTGAACGACGTGCTTCATTTCTGGGTCCCGGTTCTGCCGCAGAAGCCGGCCGGATGTTGTGAGCTACAGTTTTTACAGTCCCCCGAACACAGAGGCGAACAAAGGTTCCGCTTCAAAAATAAAGAAAAATAAAATTTGATTAATAAATAACAAACACGTTTTTTACTGAAACTGATATTTGTTTTTTCTAATCTACACTGATCAGGACAGTAAATAATAATAAAAAAGAAAATTAAACACACAACAATTGTAGTTAAAAGAGTTTTGTGTTGCTTTATCAGCTCAAACCTCAAAAGTGGACCCTAATTTAATTTAAAAAGTGTTGTATAAAGTACCACAAAGTGATACTTGAGTAAAAGTACAAGTATCTTATCATAAAATATTTTGGTAAAAGTTAAAGTCTTCTCAAAAAATATTACTTGAGTAAAAGTCTTAAAGTATCTGATATTTTTTGTACTTAAGTATCAAAAGTAAATTTCTGACACAAAATCTACTTCAGTATTAAAAGTAAAAGTACTGAGTAAAAGTGAGCAGTTAGATTTTCCAAAATGACATTTATTGGGAGGTGACTTCTCCAAAAACTATATTTTCTAACAGCGTGCAGCTGTGATGGGTTGTGTACAAGCTAATAGTGTGTCAGAATGGTATATATTTATACTTCTCATCCAAACACAATTAAATTCACTCTATAGGAGACACAGTTTATCAGGAGAGGATTTTTATAAGTAATAACTCAGAATAAAACAGGAGTAACGACTTTCTACTTCTTACCTTTTTAAAAAATGTAGTGAGTAGAAAGTACAGATAATTGTGTAAAATGTAATGAGTAAAAGTAAAAAGTACGCTGAAAAATAATTACTCAAGTAAAGTACAGATAACCAAAATTTCTACTTAAGCACAGTAACAAAGTATTTGTACTTAGTTACTTTACAACTCTGAATTTAATGTTTTTTTCTAAACATGACAATAAAAATGAACATGTTAACAATCACAAAACTGTGAGGCTGTATGTTTGAAATAACCAATGGTTGATAAACATGCAGAACAAGGTGTTTCAGATCAGCCAATCAAATCTCAGCCCAGATTTAGTGACAATGCTTTAATCCAATCAGCAATGGATATTTACGAATTGGGGCGGAGCATAATTCAAATGTAGCCAATCAGTGACTATATTCGGCGACAAAACAGGAACATCTATCAGACATGGCGAATGAGAGAAATATAAATCGTACAGAATAAATGCAGACTTTTGTGGGTTTTAGGGTCATTTCTCTGTTTTTGATCATATTTTGGGCAGAAGGAATCTGAGAGACGGATGGTGCCGGGGTGATATCTAGGTCTCCGCCCTTGGAGTTGTTTGAAAAGGTACAAGAAGTTCAACAAATTTATTAAAGACCGACCGGAAGTTGTTGTTCAAAATAAGAGCGCAACATTCCCAAAGTATTAAACCAGACAGTTAAAATAAGTCACGTTTTGTTGAGGTAATGTAGTTATTATTTTACAATATTTTTATGTGTATAAGTTTGTTTCTTTCGGTGAGGCGGGAGACGGTGAAGCTGTCAGTTTTATTGTGTACCGGAAGTAGAGTCGCGCCTCTTTCTCAGCTGCGTGTTTAAAGCTGGGACAGAGCTCACTGTGATCTCTTTATCAGCCACATATCTCCGGGCTGCCGTCACACACACTGACTCCGGGAAACATAAACAGGTATTTCATTCATGTGGAATTATTCTTTCATTTTCCTGTAGCCGGTCTGGTTGAAGGCAGGGTCCGGGTTCTGTGTGCCGGTGCGCTCGGAGAGCTGTCCGGGAGAAGTGCGTCGTCAGGCCTGCCTGGCTGTTGGCGCGGACGGACGGTTAGCTTGGAGCCAGCTAACGGTTGGAGCCAACAGCGGCTTCGTTTTATGAACATTTTCTGTTTTTATTTTTAACCACACAACGATGATGTAAAGAAGCTGCACATTTTGATTCAGCGTGAGTTGTTTTCTGTTGTGAGGCGGTTTGAATCCGAAGGGAGCTGGCTAACTAACGTAGCAGCTGCTGTTGCTAGGGCAGCTAGTTATGGTTTGTCTGACTAGTCGTCAATGGTTAAGATATTGATTTCCACCAGTTAAGCTTCGTGACATAATAAATAATAAACGTCTCAGGAGATAGTTAAAGATACAGCGGCTGACTGTATGATTGGGCTGGGTCTAATTCCTGGGCACACAGTGTTAGATGCACAGAGATCCTTTCATCTGTTCAAACATAAAGTCAAATATATGATTTACTGATTTTGAGCATTTATAGGAGCTCAGTTTTATTGATCTAGTTGGGTATGGTGATCAGTTCATCAAATGTAAAACGTCTACATATTTGTGGTCATTGATGTAGATTTAATTTAGTTTAAGCCTTTTATTATGCATAATTTGTTGTGATATGTTAGTTAAATTAATTATAAAATTTGGCTGAGCAAGTAACAGCTTAGCTGTAATGTATATTTACTCAAAACAACAAGAAATGACCACAGTTCTTTATTGAAATATGTAAATATTAGGGGTACAACATCTAACAGTGCTTTAGGTTCAACTCACACTTGTATGGAACAATACAGATTTATAAAATTTATTTTATCAACTTGTCTTCTGAAGATGCTCTGTGTTGAAGGATCAGTGGATCTGTGTTCGACTACTCCACCTAGGCTGCATTGTTGAGCACAGATCCACTGAGAAACTTGTTTCAGCAACATTTAATTTAAAAATTGTACTTTTGAGGTTAAACAAATGTTCATAATTAATTTAAATAAATTACAATTTAAAAAGGGCATGGACATTTCTCTTTTTTGTATCGAAAAAATATCGAACCATGAGACTAAAGTATCGAACCGAATTGTGAATTTTCTGTATCGTTGCAGCCCTAGTAAATACAGTTTAAAACATTTGTAAACTCAGTATTTGTTTCATTGTTTATCTCCTGTCACTGAACACAACTGGGTCATAATCTGTATTTTTTTTTTCTACCTGTGTGCATTTATTGTCCCGTCTGTTAGCAAAATATTTCAGACGTAATTACTGGCTGTGCATCAAATTTGTAATTTATAAGTTTGTATTGTTTCAAGGGTATGGTTCAAAGTATTTCAGTAAAATAACATTTGAGCATTGAAGCTGTATAGTGACTTTATAACGTCTGACAATGTCGGCTGTTTAAAAAATCTGTATCGGCCAAAATCAGACTCGTCAGGTCAAACTTTTTAAAGTTTGGAGATCTGATCTGTGCACCCCTACATGTGACTTAACAGAGTTTAATATTGTGATACGAGTGATAAATGAATGTGTTGAAGTCTTTCTGCCCCGAGTTCAGAGAAAAAAACACACTATCTCCTCGTTTCATCTCTGGAGAAAATCTGCAGAAATCAAATGATTTCCAGTTGAATATTAAGAAATAAGACAATTATTACAAATCATAAAAACATGTTAGATGTTGTCAGTGTTTAATAAGTGTGTTCTTCAAACAGTTTGTTTGATTTCTCAGTGTGGTTGTGAACTGACAGGACTTTCAGTCCGTTTGTTGGATCGATGTGAAACCTGACTCTCTTCATTTAATGTGAGCTTTTACAGAACTCCAGTCCTGCTGCACTTTCTGGAGTCTCTTATCAAAACCAAGTGAAATCATTATAATTTAAATGATTTTATATGTTGAGGGACTTCCTGCTGCAGACAGAAGCAGATCATTTTAGCTCTCCTCCTGCTGTGTTTCTCTGCCCACACTGTAAATGTACTCTCAGGGTTTTATTGAACTCAGAGAGAAATCCTTGATAAAACGGATCATTTATTGGTTTGTTTAGGGCTGAACAATATCAAGAAAACCTGCAATGTGTGATAACGGTGAGATATATTGTGCAGCCCTAGTTTTGCTGCCTTTTGTTTTGTTTTAAATGGTAACAAAGTAGCTAAAGTTTAGTTCTGAAGTGGAGTTGGCCTCCGAGCCTCCAGCCTTTCAGTTGAAATGCACAGATTAATTGTGTTAATTATAATTAAATTCTTTATTTCTTCCAGCTGAGTAAGTTTTGGGGAAGCCCAGCCCCCGACCTGACGCCATGGGGGACGATAGTGAGTGGATGAAGCTTCCCATCGACCAGAAATGTGAACATAAGGTGACTGAAGCTGTTCTTTCTTACATTCAGTCCTGTTAAAGCAAACCTCCATCAAGGAGCTGCTCAGTAAATGCACTGCTCTGTGGTTGACCTGATCAGACTCAGACTCTGTCGGGTCCTGATCAGGTTTACATTCAGGATTATACTAAGACCACCCCAGGAGAGCTGTGTAATCCATGACATCAGCTTTATTATCATGTTGGGACCATCTGCATCAGTAACAGTGTCACTGATTGTTCTTATTTTATTCCAGAAACATTAGAGACAGCAGAAACATTAGAGACAGCAGAAACATTAGAGACAGCAGAAACATTAGAGACAGCAGAAACATTAGAGACAGCAGAAACATTAGAGACAGCAGAAACAGACAAAACA